TGGTTCAGGAAATCTCTGATCGGCCGTTCTGAGAGCAGCACCGAGGTCGCTACTGTGTCGACGACGCAAGAAAATGCAAAGGTGAACATTGCTCCCCGTCCATCACCCGTGCAGGTTACACCGGAAGTTCCCTCCCCGAAACCCAGGCCAGCTGTTAGCAAGAGGACAACGTGGAATAACGGTCCATCGAATGTCGCTCCCATGCCAATTCTTCCCACCATCCGCCCAATCACACCCTTGTCTGACGCAGTGACCGCACAGGCAAGCAGCAGAACACCTTCATACAACGATGCTTACGTAAATGGAACGCAAAGGAGTGCCGCCGACGAAAACAAGGTCTCGAAGAAGATTGGCCGTCAGCTATCCGTCGCATCTGCCACAAATCACTATGCCGAGATCCATCGCCAGCAGGCCGAACGAGCGCTAAATGGACAAACTGGTCTTGCCTCGCCCACGAGCGGGACGAAGGAGAGCTTCTTTTCGCACCTCAGGAAGCGAGCGAGAAGGTTCTCCGGAAGGCACCAGACACCAATGTCTCCCGCTTATGACGACATCGAAGCCCAACCTCACGGCGTAAGCTGCGGACCTTGGGGAAGTAACAGATCTTCCATGGTCATCGACAGCCCGGCACCGGCCCCCGTCCCCAAAGACACGCTCGAATCTCTCGAAAAGTCGCTGAGAGATCCCCAACCCGTCGCCGAAGTTCCGCCCATGCCACCAGCGCACCGAGCCCCCCCACACAGCACTCTCAAGAGACACCATTCGCTGCCGCATCATCAACCAAGGTCGGTAGATAACCTGATGATGGGTGCTCGTGGATCCGGACCCGTTTCAAGCAGGACGCGGAGGCAACAAGCTGCTCAGGGTGTAAACCAGTATGATGCGCCCGATGAGGAGGACGAGCTGCTTGACGAGGCCCTCACATCAACACGGAAGGCCATCAAGCGTCTTGAAAAGGACACGAAACACCTCAGGCAATCGGCCAGCAACCTAGGGCTCGTTAACCCTTACCCAACCCCATCACCGTCAGCCAGCGGCCAAAACATATTCTTTGCCGATCACGGGAAAGAAGCTCTGACCCCCCAATCCCTGGAACATGACAAAAGGTCGTCAGAATACAAATGGCCCACGCCTCCCTACAATGATGAGGGTGACTGGGCAGCGTCGGCATCAGCCAGTATCTGGGCGGCAGGGAGCCGTATCTAGATACAGTTTCTTCTATCGACATGTTTTGTATTGATGGTGGGTGGGGGCGGTCTTTTGCGGATCTAGGGAAAAGAAAATGAGTGGGTTTCCTCTTTGGGTGGTGTTTGCGTGGAATGGTGTTTTGGGTGTTCTTTTCGGCAAGGCATCATTACCACGTTCTTATCGGGTATCTGGGGCTGTATTTTGGGTTTTCTCTCTCCCTCTCAGGAAGAGACGGGCTACTGCTTTGATATTTGCAGTTGCTGGTCTCGGGTTTTTGCTCCCTTTTTGTTTTTTTGTTTTTCAACTTCATCTTCATACCCCCCACACGTTTATTTTTATTTTATTTTTGGCTGCTTCTGCATGCATCTTACATATCTCTCGCACGCACATGCAACTACATATATGGGGATCTTGTAGCAGAAGCTGGTTCTTTCTATACACACAAAAACCGATCTGGTGGTTGTTGAATGGTATCTATCTGTTTTCTAATCTTTGTGTCGAATACCCCTCCTGGAGGAAAAAAGTCAGTCTGGCGTGTGTGTGTGTCGTCATCGCCGGCCTTACAAATCTCAAAACCTTATATTGGGCCTTTTAATACCAACCTTTTATGCGCGTCTATACTTTTGGTTCTTTTTGTGCGTGCACCCATCTGTTTTCTGTCTTTTCTGCCTTGTGTCTTTGGAAATACCCCACGCTTCAATAACCGTTTACAAAGATCGAGAGCTTGCCGTGTTTGTGCGTTTTGGGACAGGCGGGACTGTAATCGGTCGTCTGCGTGATGGAAGCGAAGAAAGAAGGAATCCTCAGGCGGCCGGTCCCTCTCAGTAAACACAACTGGCAGAAGAAAATGGGAATCTCCTAGGATCGGTCGGAGTGATAATGGGAGGAAGATGGATCCATGCGTACATGAGAGGACGCACAGAAGGGCTCGTGTGCTATGATGCGCGGGCCCAGGATTCCAGTCGTTAGGAAGAGAAAGAAGGAGAGAAGGAGAAGAAGAAGAATGTTTTCTATGTCAATTTATTATTATCCATTACCTTGTCTACATATAAATATGGGTATCCCAACCTTACAACTGAGGTTTCACAACGTTTATAGGTACATACTCTCTGTCCTCGCTTGTGCTGCGTTTTGTGTGTGGAAGTGTACAAGTGTGGAAGTGGACACTGCATATACACAGTGCCTCTATAAGCTTTAGTGGAATGCCGATCACTTATCAAACAATAACCCATTCGGCGTGGTGGCAGAGTGGTCTAATGCGCAAGACTAGAAATCTTGTTCCTTCGGGAGCGTCTGTTCGAATCAGGCCCACGTCGCACGATTGACCCTTGAAATTTTCTTTTTTGTACTTTTTTTTTCTTCATTCAATCTTTGTCTAGTTCTCGCAAAAAACATTCTTTTTTGTTATTCAGTTTACCCCGGCAAGATTATTATCGACTTTTTTTTGGCGTTCTGTGCCGCATCGCATTGCACCCATATGGCATTCGTATCGTATTTGCATTGCCATTGTATCTATGCGCGCCGTCCCGCACTCTTTTCATTATCCCCCGTGCCGCTCCGTACCGTCCCCGTATTGGCATCCCTTCCCGTACCGTACCGTTGCTGGTTCGGGGGCTTGCCGATAACCGAGACGGGAGTGACGAGCTTTTCCATTCTTTGTTGTAATATGAGACAGTCAGGACAGATCAAAGACAGAGAGAGCCTACCTTCCAAGATACCTAACGGAGACCTCTCGGGAGTTCCGAGACATCGATGCAGGTGCGGTTCGAAGCAAGCTATACCAAAACTGCCTGCTTGATGCATTTTGTGAGTTTCACCGGATGGGGATTTGATGTATCTGATGATGTTGTCTTGTGTTACCATGGACGGGGTGGAACGGAAGACTGAAGGCAAGTGCGTAGCTACCTATGTACAAAAGTAAAGAGAGGAGGCAGGTGCTTCGTTCTTTCCCTGCATCAGGTCAAACTGGAATACTTGCATCTTCAACACGGATTTTCTAATATTCCATAACTCGGAAATCTCTCCCGCAATTCATATCGCACAAGACGTTTGGTATTTTTCGTCCTCTTGACAAAATGGACGCGTATCCAGCTGACGCAGTCCAATTCCCGGCAACGCCTCGAACGTCTCAGTCCAGGTCTTCGCAGTACCGTGGCGTTTGATGGTTACCCAAAATCGAAGCGGCTCATTAGCCATGAGTGTCTAATAGCGCAAGGTGAAGCAAGGTGAGGATTTCTTTCATCACCTCCCGATTCCAGTCAAGCAAGCCGCTTGTAGGTTGGCTTCAACCCCTGTTATGATCCCCACTGTGAGGGTGCATCTCCCGCCCATGTCGTTACGGGGGCCTCACGGGCCTCACATCCACCGTCACAAGCCACTGTCAGCACTGCAGAGCAGCCCGAGACGGTAACAGCAGTCATCATGACGGCTCCCTACATTCGGACGAATTGTTTCCTATGACGACCACCACCTCGTGGGATTTGGCGACACTACCTCTATATGATATGTCCGTACATTGCAGCCACAAGAAATCAGCCACGAGAAATCAGCAGCAGTCAGACATCATCAGCCCTCGATCGGAAGTTTACCGCCATACCTTATACCATTCTTGGGTAGCGAAGGAAGACACAAACAATAGCCGGCAAGCAGCAGCTTTTACGGGCCAAGGAATTCGTCCTAAGTCTAGATACCGCAACCATTTCACACAAGGCAATACGGTGGTGCTCTAGGCTCCCATCAATCATTCGACCATTGACCCACGTTTACACTTTGAGCACTGCACCGCACTTCTGATCGACGACTGGACGGAATTGCTCAATTGAGAGAGACTTGAAGCGCTGTACGACGTCATCCTGCTGCGTGGCTCCTCCTCATCCTCCTCCTCTTCCTGTGGTCCTGTTGAGGTGTGCACCCGCCCGTCGTTTTTTCAGGAACAGATCCCCTCTCCGCGGACGAGTCCTGACGGTGACGGCAAAGGCAACGGTGAAGAAGTAAGGGAGAGCTTGAGGCACGGAAAGGTGCGCGGGAATCAAATCACGTTTTCCGATTTGGGGACCTCAGTCTTCTCGAAAAGCACATCCCCGTCGGCCCTGTGAAAGAGGCTCAGCCCCGCCAAGCATCCCCGTTACGGCTGCTTCAGTTGGTTCGGCTACGGCCTACAAACCTGCCGCCGAGAGCAGTGCCTCGAGAACCTTGCAGCAGTGCGATACGTCTGGGGAAAGGTGTGGAATCACATCAGGGAACTACCGAGTCGAACGTTGGAATTGAGTACAGGGCTTCCTGCCTGTCTCCGCCTCTGTTTCCTTTTATCATCTTTGACTTTGTTCTTCCGCTCAAATCTTGTTAAACCTACCTTATCTTTACGTTCCACTAACCTGGTTGGATCTGTCCCCCCTCTGGCTTGCGCTTCGAGAGTTAAACGGCGGTTACCGTTGCAGTTGTGTCACCATACCCGTATAATACGCCCTCTGTTGGAACGTTGAAGGGTTGTGTGCGTTCGGAGAGATATCCGGAGCATCTTTCGCGCCTCGCGATTCAAGTTCCAACAAGTCGATCTAGCCCCACGCTTCTTGTACGCTGCAGTGGACCAATTCTTTTCCTCCGTTGCTCGGATTTGTCTGCTACTGCTACTGGCTCAGACTCTCTCTTTGCCGTGCGCTGTGTTTGAAAGACCCTGTGGGTGTGCAGGTTGATAGCGGAAGCTCAGAAACCAACGTCGCACGCCGAAACAAAGGGGGTTGAACAAGGTACGATTATATAATACGAACCTCGTGAGAGAGAAAGGGATAGGAGCAGAGGCAGACGCCGTCACCATGAGCTTCACACTGCCCATACTACCGCCAACTTCTCCAACAAGTCAGAGAAACAGAGATAGTAGGAATTATTTTACAAACAGCTATAGCCCCCCAGCTTCAACCGAAGCCATCAATGGCCCGGTGAGGCAGCGGACGAAAGAGCCGGCCCCAATCAGTGATCGGCTGATTGTTGGCGTTGACTTTGGCACTACTTTCTCTGGGTACGTCTAACTGGTTTTCCTTTCGTCTCTCTTACTCATCGCCTAACTGGACTCTGCCAACGGGCAGCTGCCGAAACTGTTACGCAGCAACATATGTGTGTGACTTGGGGGCTGCCCCATCAATGTCGGCTGGGAATAAAGCTTTTGTTGCTTCTCACTGCTTACTGTTCCACCTTGCTCCCCCAGAGACCAAACCGAAACTAACATCTAGCCCAATAGTGTTGCTGCCGTATATACAGGAACGCCCGATGATGTAGAGATTATCAAGACCTGGCCGGGCGGCAATGGCATCACATCCGACAAGGTCCCTACCGAGCTCTCGTATGCAGAGGTCCCGGCCAATGCGCCGCCAGGCGCCGCGCCGGTTGTGAAATGGGGCTTTCAGTTCCGACCGGAAGAGTCGCGGATACGATGCGTCAAGCTCTTCCTCGACCGGTCCCAGAAGCTGCCCTTCTACGTCAACCCCAAGGAGACGGCCACGCAGCTGAAGAACAACAAGAAGACCGTCGTCGACGCCGTGAGCGACTACCTGACGCAGATCTACAGGCACACCATGGACACGCTGACGCGGCGTTACGGCGAGTCGTTCATGGCGTCGACAAAGGTTGACTTTGTCCTGACGTGCCCGGCTGTGTGGTCGGATGCGGCCAAGAACGCGACCCTCCAAGCGGCCGAGAGGGCCGGGATGGGCGCCCAATCGCAGATTCAGATGATCAGTGAGCCGGAAGCCGCGGCCGTGTATACGTTGAAGGCTATCCAGCCTAATCATCTGAAGATTGGAGACAACTTTATTGTTTGTGATGGTGGTGGTGGTACTGTCGAGTGCGTTACTCTAGACCTTTGAGATTCTGTAGAGAGCGAATACTGACCAGACTCTATCTAGTTTGATCGCATACAAGATCGTTTCACTAGGGCCGATTCGGGTCGAGGAGTCTGCTGTTGGAACAGGTGGGCTTTGCGGAAGTGCTTTCCTCAACTACCGGTTTGAGGAGCACGTCAAGAACCGGTTGGGGGCTAGCCGGTTCGAGGAGGTCAAGACCAAGAAGGGCAAGTCATGGCAGATGGCGCTCAAGCACTTTGAGGAGTTTGTTAAACGAAACTTCAACGAGGAAGAGTATCAGGAGATTAACGTTCCGTAAGTTTTCTCTCTAGTCATCCTCCTGGAGTGAGACATTGTTGATACTGTGACTGACTGACTGACTGACTGACTGACTGACTGACTGACTGACTGACTGCCTGACTGGCCACGCCATCTAGATTCCCCGGTCTCCCCGATGACGAAGAAATCGGTCTCGACTGCGGATTCATGATAATGACGGCGGCCCAAGTCAAAGGCATCTTCGACCCCGTCGTCAAGGAGGTCTGCGACCTTGTCCAGGGGCAAGTCGACAACCTGCGCGGCAAAGGCCAGACCGTCTCGGGCATCATTCTAGTTGGCGGCTTCGGCCAGAGCGACTACCTCTACCGCAAGCTCAAGAGCCACTTCACCAGCACCATGGCGCCGCCACCCTACACCGAAGTTCCGACGCAACAGGGCCCGCATCTGACCGGGTCCCTCATCGGGAGCAACAACAACTCGATCGAGGTGATGCAGCCCGTGTATGCGTGGACGGCCGTCGTGCGCGGCGCGGTCCTGCGCGGGCTGGAGGGAAACATGGTCATCTCGCGCAAGGCGCGGATGCATTACGGGACTTCGTACGCGACGGTGTATGATGAGGAGAAGCACAGCGTTACCGAACGTTACTGGAGTCCCTTGTGGGAGAGGTGGATGGTTAGTGATCGGATGCAGTGGCATATTGCCAAGGTGCGTTTTTCGTTATACTTTTCTCCCCTTCCCCCTTTTCTCCTCTCCCCCTTCCCCCTCCTTCTCTCCTCCTTCTCTCCTCAGCCTCCAACAACAATAATACTCACACATCGTTCTCTCCCTCCCTTTCTCTCCTCAGCCTTCCCAAACAACAATAATACTCACACATCGCATCGCAAAAAACAGGGCGATACCATATCCCCCCAAAACCCCATAGCCTTCCACTACACGCGCAACTTCCGCCCTGGCCAATCGCTCGTGGTCACGGACGACCTGATCGCGTGCGAGTCCGACGAGCCGCCCAAGTCGTACACGCGCGACCTGATCAAGGTGTGCACGCTGACGACGGACCTGGGCGCGGTGCCCAGGAGTCTGTTTACGCGATTGACGACGACCAAAGGGGTCGAGTTTGACAACCTCGACTTTACGCTCGAGATGATTGTCGATAGTGCTGGGCTGGGGTTTGAGCTCAAGGTTGATGGGGTTAGGTATGGGAGGGTTGATGCTGAGTTTGATTAGGAGGGTTGTTGTTGTTGTTAGGGTTGTGGTTGGCTGGCCATGGTGAAGGGATGGTGAGTCTCTATCTGGTCGGTTTTGGATACGCAACTTAAAGGAGCTCAGTCAGAGAAGAGAAAGTGGTCACTTGTAGAAAAGAGGTAAGTTTAATATTTCTTGTTCGACGTACCACGGGGGACAATGGACCGCTTGGGTGGTCGAAATATGCATGTAGTATATATATGTATGTATCTCATGATACTTAAGTGCTGCGGGTGATTAAAAGAATCAATGTCTATCCTGGGGTTCCCATTTCAACACCAATTCTTCCCAACTATGATGAGTGCATCGCTACTCATTCTCTCATCACTTTTGCTGCTGCTGCTGCTGCTCCTCCGCCTTCTTTATCAGCAACTCCCTCGCATTCCTCTCCCTCTGCCCTGCCGCCCACTTCTTCTTCATTGCAAAACTATTCAGCGCAATCGCCTCTTTCTCCCTTTTCTTTTCCTTCTCATCTTCCCTCTCCTTCTCTCCCTCTTTCTGCCCGTCCTCCTCCTCCTTGCCCAAAACCAACCTCTCCAACTCCCGCATAATACTCTCCACCGCCCACTCCAACGTCTCCCCAAAATCCCTATCCATCTTCGTCTCCTCTCCTTCTTTTTTCGAATTCACCAACACCCCCAACCGTTCCCTCACATCCCCCCTCAATCTAGCTTTTTCAACATCCCCATCTTCAAACATCCACTCGTGCGCCCGCACATACTCAGGCCACACAATCTTATCCACGTAACCGGGTGGGTCTTTCCAGAACCCTTCGAGGGTCACGTACCCGTCTCTTGCTTCGCGGCGCTGTAGGGCTTTGGCTTTAGAGACTAACAGGAAGAGCTTGATGTCCATTTGAGAGAGCAGGGTGGCAGGAAGGAGAGGAGGCGGGGAGTAGAGGAGGAAGCCGTCTAGGATGCATATTTTGAGGGGCTTCTGAGGGGACTTGAGGATCTGGTGGCCCGGAGAGGAAGGTTGCAGCCAGTCGGCTACGCGGCATTTGATGGTGTTGATGAAGTCCGTGGTGATGGGGCAGGGGCCGATGGAGTTGATATCTTCTTTTGAGTCGAAGGTGGCCTGTTGTTGTTTTGGAGAGGGGGGGTGAGGTTACGGTTAGTGGCTTTGACTTTGACTTTGACTTTCTCGTAACAGGCCCTTGGTTTGGCGCAGTAGTTTTGGTTGATGATGGTGAAGAATAACAACAACTACAGCCGTGGTTGTGTCGACAAGAGGGAAAGGGTCTGGCAAGACTACTAACAGGTAACTCGCCCGTGGCGCGGATGTGCTCTAACGCAGACGTCATGTCGGGAATGTTTAAGGCTTCTGGGCAGTCCCAGTTTGTGAGGCCATCTTTCATAGGAATTCTGTACAATCCGAAGAAGAGACGCAATGGCGGTTAGAATCTGGGGTAATTTAAACAAGATGATGTCAGACTCACTCGGCCTCGGGCTTGTAAAAGTCATCTTCGTGTAGGATGAAGGTATTGGGGAAGATGTCGCGGAGAAGTCGAGCCAGTGTCGTCTTGCCGCTGGAGGAACAGCCGCTGATTCCGATGACGACGGCTTTTTGGTTTGGGTCCAACATGGTACGGTGATAGAGTTCGAGTTGGAGGAGGTAGGGTAGTTGAGCTCTGGTTTGACCCCGCGATGTTATGTCATGGAGAGAGGATGTCTCTGGGCAATGAGTTTCTTGGTTTTGGATCTGGAAAAGAAAAAGAGTAACTAGGTAGGAAAATAGTCTGAAGATAAAAAGTCAAAGTTGGGAATCCTAAGGTGAGGTGCTTATGATCCAAAGACTCATCACCTGTCTGACTAAATGGAACCAACGTTGTAGCTGTTGGTGGTTTCCTTGAAGGAACCAAAACGGTACGTACCCCCTCGTATAAGCCAGGGGTTAGGGCCTGCCTGCCTGCCTCTGCCTGCCGGAACCAACCGAAGCGATAAGGCTTGTTGACACTGCCAACTTCGCGTATCGTTCTAGGCGCCTTCTAGCACACTGGCCCCTGTCGGATTTTCCACTGTCGGGCACTTTCCGCTCGCTTCTTTTCTGTGGCAGACAACCCATGCACGTCATCCCCCTTCTTCTTCTTCTTCTTCCAATTCGAACAACAGCACTCCGAGTCCGTCTAGATTTTCAAAGAAAAGGAGCTTCCGTCCATGTCGCAGGCCGATTCGCTTCCTCGACCGTGACCACTACTACTTCTGCCACCACAAACCCTCGACCGCGACCACGAGTAGTACAGCAACCTCCGCCGTCGTCTTCCTCCTCCTCAATACTACTTCAACATCATCGCCGACTCTTCACCACCGAGACCCTAATCACCACCCTCACAACCGCCAGAATGTCCGACGTTCCGAACGCCATGCCCTCGATGGTCATTATGTCGACCTCCATCGTCTCCCTGATAACGGGCTTCGTGCTCGGCGTCTACGCCATCCGCGGCTACCTGATTTCTCCCGAGCTCAAGGAAGAGCGGCGCCGGCACTTTGAGGATCCCGTCGAGAGCGAGGAGTCCGAGGTGGACGAGGACGATTACATACTAGACCACGCGCCCAACTGGGCCAACGGGCTGGAGGCTGATCAGCGCCAGGGGTTGCGCGCTCGCAACACTGCTGGCGAGAAAAAGAAGAAGACCAAGAAGACGGAGACGCCCGCATTGGATCCTACCGAGGAATGCAAGCTTGTGTTGGTGGTGAGGACGGATTTGGGTATGACTAAGGGTATGTATCTTTCTGTCTTTTCTCCCCCCCAACACTCCTACATATTCCCTACCTCTAGTTACTAACGTTGTTGTCTGAAAACAGGTAAAATCGCAGCCCAATGCTCCCACGCCACCCTCGCCTGCTACAAACGCCTCTTCTCGGCCGCCCAGCTCGAGCCCCAGTCGCTGTCGGCCCGCCTGCTCCGTCAGTGGGAGCGCAACGGCCAGGCCAAGATCGCCGTGCAGACCAAGTCCGAGGACGAGATGCTGGAGCTGATGGGCAAGGCGCGCAGCTTGGGCGTTACTGCCGAGGTTATTCAGGATGCTGGCCGTACACAGATTGCCTCTGGGTCTAGGACTGTGTTGGGTGTTGGCCCCGCGCCCAAGAGCTTGGTTGATCAGATTACTGGTCATTTGAAGTTGTTGTAAGGGGAGGGGTAAACTGATAAAGGGTGTGTAGGTGCTGTGCTGTTGGTAGTACAAGAAATCTTGTCGGAAAAGCAAAAAAGTGGTTGATTTAAAACGGGCGTACGGAAGACGGTATAGAGCATCATCTAGGGGGCTTAGAGCGGATGAGTTCGGGGCCACGACGACTTGGATACATATGTTTTCATGGCATCATCACATACACCGGTTGCAAATGGTTACAGAAAATCATCAGCACAGCATCCGGTCGACTGACCGTCTTTTGGTTTCATTAAGTGACTGATTCTGGGTATCATCTCATGTGCTCTGTTCTTCCACCACCTCTCCCACCACCAATTTTCGTTTTCTTCTACTCTTTCCTCGCAAACCTGGCCAACGTAGGTCCCAACTCGGCCACCTTCTCCTTGTGCATCTCCCCCTTCTTTTCCTGCATCTGCTTGTACATCTCCTCGGCCTTGAGCCTCTTCTCGTCGATGATGTTCTTCTTCTTCTGCTTGCGCAGGTACTTCTTGAGCGCGCTGTTCTTGCCTCTGGCGCGGTTGCGCATCTCCTCCTCCAGATCCGGCGGGCCGGCGTCCAGGTCCTTGTCGGCCTCCCGCTGCTTCGCCGTCCGCAGATCGAGGTTGCCGATAAAGTTGGGGTCGAGCGCAATCATCTCGGACGCGAGCTTGTTGAGCAGCTGCTTGACTTCGCCCTCCTGTCTCTGCTTCTTGGTCTCGTACGGGTTGACCTCCAGGGCGTCGAAGTTGGCCTCACCAGCACCGGGGATAATGAGGGACGAGAATCCTTCGCTGTGGCCGACTCCGAGAACATCGTCAAAGGGGCACCACCGCACCCGCTCGACGCGCTTGCCCTCGCCGCCCCATGTCATGTAAGGGGACTGGACCTTTTCTTGTACGGGCTTGTCCTTGGAGAAGAGACCCTTCCAGACCGTTGTCCTGGTGCCCCAGCCGACAGCGGTAAGGCCGGTATCTGAGATGGCGACGGACGAGGCGGGCGTCCGGGTAAAGTAGTTGTTAACCTCCTTGAACATGCGAATATCCCAGACGGCCATCTTGCAGTCCTGTCCTGTCGTCACCATGTAGCGGCCTTCGCGGTCGACAGCCATGGATCGTACGGGGCCACGATGGGCAAGGAGCTTGACCAGAGGTTCTGACGAGTTGGGCGACCATAGCGTTACTGTGCCGTTCTGGTGACCAACGTGGAGGATGGCGTTCCAAGGGTTTTGTGTCATGGAAACGGGTGTGCCGAGCTTCGTTGCGATTTCGGTGACGATCTGACCGGTCGAGGTGTCCTGGTACTTGAGCTGGCCGTTTGTGCCCAGGGTGGCCAACAGGAAGTGATAGGGAAGGAATTCGAGGTGGGAGACTTCGACGTGTTTCCTTAGGCAGTGGAGCTCAACACCCTGAGAGTCGTAGATGTAGGTGTACTTCTTCTGGGCGACGGCGAAGTATTGGTTGTTGTGTAGCCACTTGACGTCCCTGACCGTCTCTCCCAGCTGCAACTCGCAGCCCAGCTTGCCGTCTCTCCAGTCCATCGTAGCGACATGGCCCTTCCGTCCTGCCAGGATCAGATCCCGGCCGTTCCTCGAAAAATCGCAGATGTAGGGTCCTAATTGGTCGAGCTTCAAGTCGAGCTTCTTGTGGGCGACTTCGATGTTGACTTCGCTGACGATGTCCTCCTGGCGGACCTTGTATGTGCGTTCCTGTCATGGCCAGCGCTGTTAGTATCGCATAAGAGATCATTAACTCCCATATCATGACTACATACAAGCTCATGCTCGGCCTCGAGGAAACCACCGGCATTCTCGAGAAGGATCTCGGCCTCCTTGGCCTTTAGCGTGGCCGTCTGGTACTTTTCTTCGAGGTTGGTAAGGTTGCGCTTGAGCTTCTTGTCCTTGACGCTCTTGACATCAATCTTGCGACCCGGCCGTATGACTTCTCTGCTGCCTTGACTTTGCGGATCTTGTTGGCCTCGGCCTTTGATCGGAACTCGCTTCGGACGTTGTTGATGGCGACGGCGCCGCTGGGCTGCTCTGCCCTCGAGAGCGAGACTTCGTAGGTCTGGTTGTTGTCTGTGGTCTCCATGATGCCAATGGGTCGAGGCGACTCAATTGGGATGGATAATATGTGTTGATGGACTAGGACAGTTTGGATCGGCGACAGGATGTTGGTAAGAATGGAGATATGGATTTGGTATGGCGGTTTCGACTTTCGATTGCAGTGAATGTTTCCTTCCTCCAAAAGGCTCCAAAGGCTCGACAACTTTTCTGGGCCAGACCCACTAAAAAGTTGGATGGGGCAGCTGTTCCGCTACGATCATTGGCTCCACTGTCTACAGGGGACTGCTTTTTGCTGGGGCGATAAAGATTCTGATAAGATAGCGAGAGACGGCAGCCCATGTCGATTCGCACAACTCAAAAAAATGCAACGAGTGCCCCGCCATTGAACATTCATATCACCGATTCGATTACTCGATTATCCAGATTAGACCAGAGAGGTTCTCGCCAGTCTCTCTTCAGTCCCAACCCCCAGACTCGGCTCGACTCGACTCTTCAGCGCTTTCTCACGTCACCATCCTGGCGTCAAACTCGCTTCCCTTTCGATTCAAAGCAGGCGGAGAATCCAGCAAAATGCCATCCGCCGTGGGCGGCCATTCGCATAGGCCGACGACCAAGACGAACAACAAGTCCTTCAAGTCGCGCCATGCTACCAAGGGCTCTCTCAGAAATGCTGCCAAAGGTACGGATCGCATAGCCCAGCAGTGGCTGACACCGAAGTTACTGTCTTGCACTATACTCTACTTGCCCTAGCAACTTGGCGCATCGAGCCCGATCAGATACACACAAACATACAGCCGACACATTGGAGATTCAACAGACGTTCAAACAGCTTACTAACACTTCTTCTTGACGCTCTATAGGCAAGGTAGCTGAGGAAAGAGGTGTGCGCAAGACTCCCCATCAACAGGTCATGTCCAAGTTCGACCGTCGCAACCGCAACAAGCAGCTCCAGCTGCAGAAACACAACCAACATCTCCAGGAGACTTCCATCTTTGCTGGCAAGGATGGCGCCCCCAGAAACGTTGCTGTTATCCCCCTGTGCAGCGACGGCAACGCTGTCGAAGCCATCAAGAGCCTGAACACCAGCATCGATATCGAGACCGAGGTGCCCGAGGGCGCATTCCGCGTTCCCGTCGACAGATTCAAGCAGAAGCTCCAATACTTCCCCCTTAAGCGCGACCTTACCGCCTGCCTTGACGCCGCCAGAGTCGCCGACTATGTCGTTCTTGTTTTGTCTGCCGAGGAAGAGGTTGACGAGCTCGGCGAGCTGATCCTGCGCAGCGTCGAAAGCCAGGGTCTCTCTACCCTCTTCACCGTCGTTCAGGGCCTCAACAAGATCGAGCCTCAAAAGCAGAGACTCTCCGTTCTTTCGTCTCTCAAGTCTTACATCACCCACTTCCACCCCGAGCAGGATAAGGTCTTCAGCCTCGACAACAGACAAGAATGCTCCAACCTCATGCGCTCGCTGTGCAGCACTACACCCAAGGGCATTCGCTGGAGAGACGAGAGAAGCTGGATGCTTGTGGAGGAAGTCAAGTTCGGCGAGTCTACCGTGCTTACTGGTGTCGTCAGAGGCAAGGGCTTGAAGGCCGACCGCCTGGTGCAGGTTGGCGATTGGGGCACATTCCAGGTTGAGAAGATCACAGCAGCTCCTTTGGCCAGGAGGAAACGGGGAGAGGAGGGCATGAGCATGGAGGAGGCCGGTGAGCAGATTCTCGACCAACCTACCGAGGACTGCGATGATCTTGTCGACCTTGCGCCCGAGGAGGTTCACATGGAGGACGACGATGAAATGAACGACGGCATGACCACAATGACGACCGCCACTTCGAAAAAGGGTGTTTTGCTGGACGACCATCACTATTTCTCAGAGGACGAGCCCGAGGCTTATACTGCGCCAAAGAAGCTGCCCAAGGGTACATCGAAGTACCAGGCTGCGTGGTACCTGGACGATGACGTGTCTGATTCTGGTTCAGATATGGAGGAGGATGACGAGATGGAGGAGGACGACGAGGAGGAGGCTGCCAGGCCAGAGGATGGCGAGGAGGGTCTTGCTGGTTACGCACCAACAGAAGCAGGAGGAACCGAGTACCCGCAAACCGAGGGCGGCTTCATCCAGCCTGATGCTGATGAGGATGCCATGCAACTGGAGGCTTTCCGCTCCCAAAAGCGGGATGAGGCTCGGGAGGACCTCGAATTCCCTGATGAGATCGAGCTTCACCCCCACGTTCTTGCCCGTGAACGTCTCGCCAAGTACAGAGGTCTCAAGAGCTTGAGGTCAAGCCCTTGGCAGGAGGATGAGGACCGCGCATACCAACCAGAGGATTGGGAGCGCTTGTTGAAGATCCAGGACTACCAAGCCTCCAAGATCAGGGCATCTAGGGAAGCCCTTGTCGGAGGTGTTGCTCCTGGCACTCGCGTTCACGTCTACCTCAAGGACGTGCCCGCGACCGTTCAGCAATCCTACAACCCCAGCCAGCCCATTACTCTGTTCTCCCTTCTCAGGCACGAGTACAAGAAGACGGCTGTCAACTTCCTCATCAACCTGAGCGCGGACGCTGCCGCGCCCATCAAAGCCAAGGAGGAGTTGATCATGCAGTGCGGTCCCCGCCGCTTCGTCATCAACCCGCTCTTCTCCCAGGCCGGCACCACCCCCAACGACGTGCACAAGTACTGCCGGTACCTGCACCCCGGCCAGTCGGCCGTCGCCACCTTCATGGGTCCCATCACATGGGGTGCCGTGCCCACGCTCTTCTTCAAGAGACAGGTACCCGGCTCGATGCTCAACGAGGATGGTGAGCCCGTCTCCAACCTGCCGCTCAGCCTCGTCGCTACCGGCACTGCCCTGCCCCCATCGACATCGCGCGTCGTCGCCAAGCGCGCCATCCTTACCGGCCACCCGTATCACATCCACAAGAAGATCGTCACCATCCGCTACATGTTCTTCAACCGCGAAGACGTCGAGTGGTTCAAGGCCCTGCCTCTGTGGACCAGACGCGGCAGGAGCGGTTTCATCAAGGAGGCCCTCGGTACCCACGGTTACTTCAAGGCTACCTTTGACGGCCGCATCAATCCCCAGGACTCTGTCGGTGTCAGCTTGTACAAGAGGGTGTGGCCCCGGAGTGCTAAGCAGCTGGATGCGCCTCTGCTCGATGCCGCGGCACTTCAGCAGCAGGCGCAGCAGGTTGACGAGGATGCGATGGATGCGGAGTAGATCTAGGGTTTGTTGTCTGTTTGGCTATTTAATAGACTAGACGTGCGTCTCATGTTCAAGAGAAGGGTAAAACAGGGCTTTTTAATGAACGGCGTTTTGTGTGGGAACATAAAAGATGAATGATATCTCGAATTGGTTTTTATCTTTGGTCGGGTTATATATACACTGCTTATATGGAATTGCATTCGTTCTTTTCTCACAACTTTTTGGTTACTGGTGTACGTTGATTGTGTGCATATGGCTGTCAATATGTCTGGTCTTGGGTGAGACAAGGTATCATGACTTGGTTTCACACATAGGTTAAGATGCCATCGCGTTGTTTTCTATCCGTCTCCCTTGGACACAATAACCTCTTCAGCTCGACCCACTGTACTTCAAGCTTCAGTGGACCGTAGTTTCCCTTCATCCATTCCTTAACTGTCCGCCAGATACCTACCTACCTGCCATATCCCATCATCCGAGCCGATCAAATTAAGCACAATCATCTCCTCACGTTCCCCCCTTTCCCCTCTCGCTCAGCCACGATATGGTTCTACTATAATGTTACATAGTTCGTCGGAGAAAATGCTCACGTAGTTTGCAAAGAGGAGATGCCAACGGCGATAGTTTTCGGGATGATCACCCGAGAATTCAGTTGTACACTACCTTATGTGTGACAGTAGATAGACAAGGCCGAAAGGAAAGGGGTGCATGAACCATAGGTACATACCATAGTACAACCATGAATGGGAACATCGCGCAAATGGGTTAAGGATGTTAGTAGTGACGAAAAGGGAAGGAGGCTTAGGACATGTTGTGAAGAGCTCCCAACGCCAGCATGGATACCTACTACACCCCAGATTCCAGTTCCATACATGCAGTATAACCAACAGGCCACCACTACCAAAGATGCCTCTACTAGTCTTGTTGAGAGATTATACATATTCATTCAACAACTTTCATCTTATGCCTCTGCTTGCCTCTTTTGCTGCGCCTATATTTCATTTCCGAGTTCAATCCAGCCAGCTCATCAAGCTCATCAAGCCTCACGAAGGCGAATTTGCGTTGTGGCGTACGGATCTTTCACTGACAGGCTTGAGTTTGAGGTCTCCAACGGAGTTCAACGGGATGGATCGCAACTCAGGTTTTGCTGTTAGTGCTACACTACACTACTTGCTGGGTCTAGGGCTGCCTGCTAACACTACCGCTCGTAGGAGGAGGGTAGCTCGAGGGTAGCTGTTCAAGGTTGTTAGAAGAGGGGAAAAAAGGGGGCTGTGCAAGCGGAGTTTTTCTTTGATGGTGCTTCCGTTGGTTATTCCACTCATACAGACAACCTACCATCTACCTAGATACTTTTGAGTTCCCGCTCATCGATCGGACGACAAATGTGGACTTACACTACCAACCTGTTGCTGTTGCCGTTGCTCAAATGACTGCATTTTGTCTTGGATCATGATAGTCCCCGGGTTCAGGTTCCCTTGTCTTGTCTTGTCTTGGTTGGGTTGTAGTCGTTGGAGTCACTGTTACCTCTAGAGTCTTCTGACTACGCCCAACAGTGAAGGCTGAGCAATAGGGGGCAACCATAGCGGTGGGTTCAGCAATAGGCTCCCCGGGACGGATGAGGGTTTTGCAGGCTTTGGCAGAGGAGACTGAGGGAGTGGCTTTGTAAGTAGCCTTCAAATCTTGCTCATAATGTCCATGGAACTTGCTGGTAATAGAGATTTCACGTGTGCTGAATGATAGGAATTCGATTGCGAATTTCATTGCGAAGCCAAGTCTGAGCCTCAGGAGCCTCAACATTGGCAGATTGGCATATCGATTGCCGGGACATGATGACAGGCGAAACCTCGTCAGCACCGCAATCCATTGCTGAGCATGGCGCGGCGGTCGGGCGGGCGTGGGGAGATGAGGTTGAGAGTGAGATTGGGATGATATGAGGATGTTAGTGTGTACGAGAGTTTGCTACTGTGAATGATGGGTAGCTTTGAGTATCCCCTAACACCTGTTAAATGGGAGCCCTCAGTAGTGCCTCGTACTCGTCAGCCATTTCCTTCACAGGCACTGCTCTGCAAACGAGAGAAATGCAGTGCACCGTACCGCTAGCAAGGCTCAGCTAGGTATCCCAACAAATCCCATGGCAAATGCGCAGCAAACATGTTAGTGCAAAGGCTCATACATTTCTCTTTAGCTGCGACGAACACTGATACCTCTACGCAGCACGTCGGACGATCCGAACACAACGACCTTGCAACCTGCAAGTAGTGCAGTGACCGTGTGATCTTCTCTCAGACTCTTCACAAACAGCGCGAAGATCGGATTCGGTGCCAGGTTCAGAGCGGTGCCGTGAGGCTGTGCAAAAATCTCAAAAAGAGAGAAAGAGCCACCGGCAACCACTGCTTTCCAAGCAGCTTCCAGGGGAATCGCCCAGGAATCGCCGAGGGTTGTACACTACAGGTAGGGCGGCGTCTTAGTCTGGGCGTCACAGACCTAAAGTTCCACTTTCCATCCAAAGGCGTCTCGCTGTTGAGACTTTTGGTTGTGATAGATGATGGCCAATCAAAACGTCATAAGGGTCATCTCTTTTTTCCTACAGCACTTGGTTACCATGTACAGTTCCATTCGGCTTTTGGCGGTGTTTAATGTTCTACCATACGCTGTGTCTCACGTTTTGCCTCCCCGGGTTTGCAGTTTCTCTTCCCGTCTTTACCTTTCTCCGGCAACCGGGTACACTACAAGAGAGTGTTATAGGTAGATTGATATCAAAACTCGAGTGAGGGTCAGGCCGGGCGGTGCACCCTTACGCAGCGGGCAGGTGGCGAGGGGGTCACGGACGGATGTCCAGGCCTGTTCTGTTGAAGAAAAGACGGATCAAAGAGAAGACGAACTCGTCCTTGACATCGATAAGGTATCCAGGGGCTTGGCGTACCTCAGATGCTGGATGACCAAGACGAACAATTGGCAACTCTTTGGCGAACACATGTCACTTGGGAGGGAAGAGACATGCTCAGCCATCCAACCAGCATCCATCGACATCCATTCAACTCCATCTTCCAGGGCGGCTTTGCTGGCCTTGCCGGGGCAGGGCAGGTATGGGCCAGGTACCTACCCCGTCCGAACACCCTGTACCTACCTACCTTCCCCTTGTACACGGCGATTCCCCAGCCCAGCGGGTGATCAATTCCACCACCACATGCACGCGCCTCTTCTGTTTCACCGCATTCAAACGACCCTGCGTGCCCGGCCAGGACTCCGCTGTTATCGCCAACGACCACTTTCTTCTTTAAACTGCTCCCATCCCGCCCGACAACAACAACCTTCCCTTTTCAATATAAACACATCTCGAATACCCCTCTCCAACTCTTTCCTGCCTTTTCTCTCCAACAACTCAAAATCCATTATTAAAAAACCATCACCAGGACAAATTCGAGATCATCTCTGTGCGCCTAACTCGACCACTGACTTGTCCCAAGTCCCCGCCGCTATTACATCAACGACTTCTAAACACCACACAATCACAATCACAACCATCACCATGGAGTGCCAACAACAACAAGTGACGAACGAGCAGCCGCTCCAGCAGTCCCCCGATCTCCGATCTGCTTCCCTCTCACGCTCCTCCACCGGCCGCTCCTCGAGGAAAGGCTCGTCGCTCAGCCTCGATCTCTCCAGCCTCCCTCCTCTCAGCCAGCCCACGCCGCCTTCCAACACACTAATCTTCACAAACATCAACTCGCTCGACGTCTTCTCCGCCGACAACCTCCAGACCATCCGCGACCTCATCAGCCAGACGGCACCCATCTTCGCCTGGTCGCCACTCAAGTCCTTCCGCCGCATCATCGTCACCTTCTTTGACGAGCAAGCTGCCATCGCCGTGCGCTCCGTCTGGGACGGCGAGGCCATCCTCGGCGAGCGCTGCCGCGTCTACTTTGGCCAGCCCACCCCCATCGACGTATCCGACGCCGACAAGCACCTGGCCCTGCCCGACGCCGGCAAGCTCTTCTTCATCAGCCCTCCTCCCAGCCCTCCCCACGACTGGGAGCAGCGTATGGAGGATGCGCCCAACACCATGGTGCACGCCGAGGATTTGGCTGAGGCGCTTGCCAAGCTGAGGCACCACAACAACCCCAACGGCATTGACGCCGATGTCAAGGTCCCTGTCTCTCCGGCTTCCGATGGCGGCAGCAGTGGCAGGCCCGGCGACTTCAAGGAGAACGCGAGGAAGAACAGGAGTCGCAGCTCGACCCTCATCTTCCAGCCTGACAAGAACCATGTCCGCCAGCCTAGCAATGGCAATGCCGGCGGCCTGGTAGTCGACTTGCCTTGCGTCACGGTTGACGATATGACAGATGGGCCGGAGGATGCCGATGGCGATATCGACATGAGCCCCGTGTCGGACTCGCCCAGGACGAAGCCCATCCTTGCGCATACCGCGAGGCCGCCTGTCGAGTTGATGCACAGTGCTTGAGCGAGCCGCTCTATTCTTTTCCGACCTTCTCTTTTTCACAACTCTAATATTATCAATTTTGTAACGCAAGGATCACATATTTGGATGGTCAAGGTTGGCTGGCTGGCGGGCGTTCAGGTGTTGGTGTCCCTGGATACTATTTCCACCATTACCAGCATTAGCAAAAACTGGATGCTGAATGGGTAGAGGAAATCACGTAATGGACATCATCAATAGCATGTTTGCATATTTGTTTGGGGGTAAACAAAAACTTGGGTTTGCAAAGATTTATTTCGGTCTATTGTCTGGAGCATAGGTCCCACGGGACAGAGAATACATGATAGTATACAAATAAAGTAGTGTATATCAACTCTAGCATGTGAAACATATTTTGGTGTCTTGGCAAGTACTAACATGACAGGTATTGGTAGTAGTCAAACAGCCAAGTGATCCAATACACCATTCGTTCGTATACTTCCGTGAGCTCATCACAGGCCCCCTAGTATGATCCAATATGGATGCCCAGTTTTGACAACGCCTTTTAACGCCCAATGAGTCCCCCAAAATTCTGCAATATGAAAAAGCCATCATCGACGAAACAAAAGCATCGTCCCAGACAACAACAAACCCCTTAGTCCAACCCAAACCAGGCATCCCACGACCGTACTCGCAACCAAAAATGCCTTCAGACTCCGAAATTCCGACCCGCCGTACCTGGCTGAAATCCATTCCCACCAGCTCTTCTTGTTCTTCATTCCCGTCTTATTATCCTTGCCATCATCATCATCACCACCACCGCCGGCATGATGAGGATCAGAATCAGAATCAAAAGAAGTCGTATACTTCCCCCTTTCGGGGACCCACTCAAACACAAACTGCGCCTCTTTCCCGCCCGCCATCTCAACAGTCACATGTCTCATCAGTTTTCTCACCCTTTTGTAGCGTTCCTGCCCAGCAACCTCAATCTCAACCTCAACCTCCTTGTCACCAGAGGTACCTCCACCCCATGGCACCCTCCTATCAAACAAAAGATAGTGTGCCTGCCGTAAATAACAGAAAAACATAAACAACAAACACTGACTGATGACCAACAACGTGTACCACATTTTTGGTTTGGGGATCTGCAGGGTTTGACATAGCCGGGAGCCGTTTAACCAGTACGCTTGCGCGCGGAGAAACGAGGCCGAGCTGCGCAGCGGCGGCTGGTTTGCGAGGGCGGTGATGATGTTGTTGGCTAGCACGGCTGAGGTCTCGCTGGGGTTGTTGAGTTCGGCGAGGGCGAGGGATTCGAGGACCGTTTTTGCTTCGTGGGGGGTGCCGAAGGGGGTGACTGTCCTCCCGTCAGGCAAGGTGATGGTGTCTGGGACTCCGATAAGGTAGGCCACGTAGCGCCAGAGATGGAGGTAATCGGAGATTTCTTGTTGCGACAAAAAGATGCCTTGGCGGGGTAGTCCCATCCAGATTAGAGCTGAGGAAAAGGAGGCGATGGTGCCGATGCTGTCGAGGTCGTTTATGGGGGTTCCGAACTTGGAGGTGTCGTAATACCTTTTCCCCGTCTTCGTATCCCCATTCCCAATGGACCCATTTCCATCCTTTTTCTTACTCTCATCCTCACCCTCATTCTTCTTATCCTCATCATTCTTACTCAAATTCATAATCCTCCTCCTAACACTCGCATGCAAAAACCTCACCCGAACCGTACTCTTCCACCCCTTTCCACCGGGTTTCATACTTTCCACCCCCTCGGTCACATCCAAAATGTGCTGAAACGTCTCCAACAGCCTGCGTCTCGCCACGCGTGTACCGAACCCGCCTGTCCTGGCTAAAGTCTCAACTACTCGCGCTGAAGCCATTCCCCCCAAAAGCGAGTGGAAGGTGAGAGAAGTAACGGCGGGCCCGGCGTATCGATAAAAGACGGCTTGGCCGCGCGCGATGGCGGCGTAGGAGACCCAGGCGGGCACGGTGGTTAGTTGGTCCCAGAGAGTAGAGAGGGAGGGGAATTTGTGGTGGTGGGTTTCGAGGAGGGTGAAGAAGTCGGTTTGGGACATGGGACATTCTGTTGGGGCGCCATTTTGGGGTTGTGGTTTAGAGGATGAGGAAGAGATTTTTGCTCGGAAGGAAGCGGAGGAGGATGAGGGGGATGTTAGACCGAGTTTGTCGAACTCGTCGAGACAGTCATTAGTGAGTTTGTCGTAGGAGAGGGTGAGAGATTGGAGGTCAGTGGCTGTGAGGTGGGAGGGAGTCCAGTCGAAGGTGTAACCCCAGACGTCTTTGCGGTTGGGGCTTTTGGTGGTCCTAGGGGACATTGCTGATGGTATCTTTTGTGGTTATTCTCGATATTTGAACTGTTGAACGAGGCTTTATGGTGCCTCAAGTGGAGGCGTGAAAGTGAGTCGAAGTCGTATCAAGAATGGACCTGAAAGCTCTGTAATTGATATTCAAAATCGTGATGACTATGACGAGAAGCTTTCCATCCGAATTCTTTTCTTTTTGGTCGAGTGTCTCTAACCGTCGTTATGAGAGGAAGCTAAGAGTTGAAAGGCGAACGAATATCCAGTTATTGGCCCCCTTTGATCGGGAATAACGGAATACCAAGTACCAAGAAAATGATTGGGGTAACAGGCCATATCTCGGCGACGTCGTCACTGTCAAGGTCGAATTTGTAAAGCTCCCACCGATGGACGTAGGAAACGGGATATTGAGCGTTTAGTTCCGGAGTCTACTTCAACTATCGACCGGTAACTGGGTGGGTGTAACTTGATGTTTACTCATATTAAGTTCAAATCCAGTTGTGATGTTGAACACGAGTGGCATTCGCCACAACGTCCCAGTTAGCGACACCATGATGGTCCAGGGAATCATCAATGGCATCTTCCCCACATTTTGGGTAACGACAGGGGAAGACATCCCGGTATGGTCCGAGGAAACATATTGTATTGTTCCACGGTCCTCCTCTTCTGCCATGATTGGATGTCTGGATTTCCAATACAAAAACTCAACAGTGTTAGAAGTAGAAGTTGTGGAGGCTTTCGGAATAGCTTCAACACCCAAGGTTACACAAAATAGTAAACAACGAAAGGAGAAAATAAATGAAAGTGGCAGCGGCCGTTTGATGCAACTAAACCTAACAGAATGCGCGGTCCGGATAAGAAGGAAAAGTTATCGATAAGGCTTACACGAGATAAGCAAAGTGGGTCTGGTGGGGCGTGGCTGCTGGGGAGACCGATGCACGCTAACAAAATGCCCCTCAAGGTTGAGTTTCAGTGGGCAGGCAAGACCTCTGGCGCCCAAGGACCCTGGGGAAATTTTCGAAACCGCCAACGTCGATATTATCGTGGTCGCGATCATTGAGATTTCCATCGACAATTCCAGAACCGCAGCAAATCGAGGCCATCGCGTTTAACCTCCGCTCCCGCCGAGTCGCCGCCATCTTGCTTTCCCCCTGCAGCCAAATTAACCTTTCCTCCATAATTCCTGCCGGTCCCCTCACAATGAGTTGCTCCTGCAACACGGCCGCGCTGCGGATCTTTGTCCGAAACGTCGCCAACATCCAAGTCCCCTCATCTCAACAAGTCACTCCAAGAGCGCTTTCTGGCATTTACAGGCCAAGGACTACTACACATCTACCTCTTCATACCCGGTCTCTACACACGACGCGCGCTGCCCGAACCGACTCCACAGACGCTGTCTCCGAGGAGGCAAACCAGTCTGAGCCGCCAACAGCCACAGAGAAACCAGAAACCCCAAAGTTGCTCTTCCGAAAAACCCGTAGTCCTCCCAACCCAGAATGGAAGGCAAAGAACCTTCCACAGCGCCCAAATTATCACCCTCGAGACTATAAAAAGAAGCCCGGGCTAGACGTCGACGATACGCCAAAGGAAGAGTTAAAGAAGAAGATCAGATGGAGAGGCCTACCTGAAGAGGAGCGTCGAGAGCTCTACGCAAAAGCCGGCAAGGAGATGCCCGACGAGGCCGAGAGGCAAGCGCGCAAGCAGGAGCGACAGGCACAGAAGCTGAAACAGTCACTCGAGGGCGCCGGGGGCCGCGGCGGCGAAGGAGGGGAGCCCTTTAAAAAGTACAACCCGTCCAACCCCAAGCGCGAGGACTGGCAGCACCAGAAGAACGCGCTGAAGGAAAAGTTCCCCGAGGGCTGGAAGCCGCTCAAGAAGCTGTCGCCGGACGCGCTGGAGGGCATCCGCGCCCTGCACAAGCAGTTCCCCGACGAGTACACGACCGAGGTGCTGGCCGACAAGTTCCAGGTGTCGCCCGAGGCCATCCGCCGCATCTTGAGGAGCAAGTGGCGGCCGGACCCGGAGGAGGAGATTGAGCGACAGGAGAGGTGGTTCAAGCGCGGCACGCAGATCTGGCAACGGTATGCCGAGCTGGGCGTCAAACCCCCCAAGAAGTGGCGGGAGCAGGGCATCAAGCCGAATAAATACTGGAAGGAAGAGGACAAGGAGAAGACGTTCAAGGACCGCCATATTGCGAATGTTAGGCTGCATCGGAGTTTGTTGTGAATGGGAAGGGAGACTAGGGAGCCAGTCACTTCTTACTTACTCTGCTATTCGAAAAGGGCATGGCATGGAAGACCCCTTGGTTGGGCGGCGTGGTAACAAGCAAGCAACAACTAATCAATCACCGCTCAGCACCCGAGCTACCTACGGCCGACTGTATTATTAGAAACTGTTTCCATAATCTGATATTATGGCAGATTGCAAATCATGATCACGGGACACTTGATCACCCAACCCACTGCACAAGAGAGGAAAGCTTTCCATCCATCCATCTTGAATCTACCAATCCAATTTCAAGTGATGACGAATGCGGCTCGTCCTAGCCACGTGGCTAGGGTGTGAGAGGAACAGCTCACTTTTAGACACACCGAACCCTTCTTGTTCTGACGGCGTCAAGTAATTCCGTTGTGCTTGAAATAGAAAGCTTGGTCTTGGATCCATCGGTGCGACGGAGGAGACGGAAGTGGTCGGTCGGTCGGTCGGTCGGTCGGTCTGGAGTCAACGCACAATGTTCAGTCAGACGGAACTTGGACATTCCGACTTTGCGACGAAGCCCATATTCTCAGTCATGGATGGCTTCACGCAATTGCATCTTTCAGTTTTGGGTACCATAGGTAGCTAGTAGTTAGATCGGAACTACCTATCTTGGGTGATAACTGTCTGTGCGAGAGCCAAGCTGGATCCAGCAATGTGACGGCGACGCCGCGGAAAGCAGGCCTTTCAGGTCAATTTCCTTCGCTTTCTGCGATCCCCGTCATTATGATTTACCTATCCCTCGTCCGTCAAGCCGCCAACGCACGTAAACATACGTACGGACTCCCATCGGCATTGACTTAAGCCCTATGGCTCGACAAGGAAAGCCACGTTAACGCCATGTCTGTATCGGTTTGACAGTTTGGGACATATGATGGAATGAAGATGTGGAAA